TACTGGAATAACACTTTGCACTCTAAACTGGATAGTAAAAATGTACCGGAAACATGCATACAATGGAGTTTCCTTCCTTCTATAAGACATTCTTTCCAATTCCATTCTTAAACATCATTGTGAAAAGCCTGTTTGGAAAGACTAGTCCATACCTTTGGGTACTAGGTTACCCAAGCCCTAGACATCGGCGTCTCTGAATTCTCATACTTTAGTATTGGCATGTGATTTCTGTTTTTTTCTTGTGTTTTTTTTTCCTGGTAGATGGTTATAAATCAGGTTTATGAAGAGGAAACTCTCTGTAATTGTGCATTTTTAATGGATTTATGATAAAGCCATCGAAGTGGAGGGTCCACATGGTAGGGATGCAGTAAAGGTAACAGGACCAGTGTCATGTAAACATTAAATACAGTGCCTTCCCTTCATAAATCCTCAGTGCTTGTGATTAAATGCTGCCGGTTATAAATTACGCAACCGAACTCTAGAAACGACCACAACTTAAATCAGACACCAGTGGAAGCCTCCAGTTGTAATACTGGCTTCCTTCCTGGGAAGCTGTTGTGTTATTTTTAGGAGACAATATATGAATCCCCATTTTCCTCAACAATCTTCTCACTTTATTGAACTTCCTACAGTAAGCTTTCATTTTGATTAAAAAGCAATAATATGAACCTTTAATCCTAAACAATAATGTTTAGTTTTGGGGGGGTGAAGTGTCTTTTTCACGTGTAGACTCATTTGGAAGCTTGTAGTCTCTGTGTATAGATCTATCTGTCTTTAGGACTCTTAAGAGTTTGCTCCATTTAGATTCATATCTCAGAAGTTTCTGCAAAAGCCCAATTTCACACTGGTATTTACAATCCAATTATTTTATTACACATGGAATCAATTAAACATTCCACCCTCAGCTGTAAACAATTACTATATACAATGACATTCATGGAGTTTTCTTCAATAGTCTTGCATTTCTAATGCCCTCTGTTGAAATGAGTGAGATTGATGTATGTGTATTTTGTGTACCCGTATGTGATCATATTCCCAAACATCATATCACACAAGTTGTTTCACCTAGAGGGTGCCCAGCAGACTATGATGCCACACAGCCACCTGCAGTGACACCTTTGAGGTAGTTCTTTTCTCTTCCACCATCACTTTGCTCCCATTCCAATTTAATCTGAGGAGTTGTTGGTATTATGCTTTTGCATAATTTGTTTTTTTAGAGTTTGGGGGCATCCACCATAATCCTGATACGTGCGTACCAGTGTTGCCAGTAGCAGAGAGGTAGGGGAAATAAGGAGCGATATCACCGCGTGGACTTGGGCTTGAATCTAAGCTCTGCCAAATTCTAGTCGATGACCTTGAATAATTTACTTTTTTCCATGTTTAGTCTTCATATGTGGAGAATGTGGGTAGTTATATGTAAATCATAGGCCTCTTATGGGTGTCAAATGAGGTAAGGCATGTATTGCGTATTCAGTACATACTGATTTCTCTACTGTTGCCCATGCTCCTTTTCTGGAAAGACTCATAGGCATGGTGGCTTTCCATTTTGAGAATATCCAGCCTTTGTTGTCTCAAGTTGAGGGCTACACTTTCTTTGCCCTAGACTCCCCTTTCCTCCAAGTAAGTGACGAGCATGGGAGAAGCTCACAGCTGTTTTACTTATGTTCTGAAATTCATCCACCAGCCCCGGTTGCAAGGGTACCTAACAGCTGTATCCAGCCTTCCTAGGAGGCCAGAGCTGGAGCTGAGTGGTAATGTTTCAAGGGCAAAGCTCTAGATGTAAAGAATGATAAAACAGACCTCAATGAGCCTGAGCATATCTAGTGACAGACACACCGCAGCTACTCTAAATTATTCAGGCTTTCTCAGACCTCTAACGGGAGAAACATAATTCAGCTCTGCTCTCCTTTATTCTACTATCCTATAATGGCTAAGAAGAAAAAAAAATACCCCCTCCAAAAAAGAGATTACAATAATCACCCAAACTGAGAAGAGTTTCTTTAGCACATGCAATATTTTTAGAACCACCCAAATTCTGGGAACCAGCTTTGGAGGTAGAAGTTACAAATGATTTTGCAATGCTTAGGGGTGATTTCCTTACTTCCCTTTTGTTAGCATTTTGTTGGCAGAGAGCCAGTAAAGCAGTTGTTTAATTAAGCTTCTGAACATCACAAACATGTAACCTCTTAGATAAGCTGTTATTGTATTTTAGCAGCAATACTAGGGTCAAAAGTAACAAAGAAAATTAAGCTTCAAATAAGCAAACCTCAAAAGAACAGCTTTGTGTATTGAGAATAATTAATAACTTGTTTAGGAAAATGTTACTGAAATGTGGTTTTTGGATAAGGAACTAACACTCTTCAGAGGTTAGATACCCTAATATTTAACAGGCTACCATGTGGTGGGAGGGCTGGCTGGCTGGTTACCCCGTGGGCATGGCGCAAGTTAGTTCACATGTAATTATGGAGCATTTAGACAATATCTTAATGATACCATGTAGTTCAGCTACATCAGTCCAGCTGGAAATTGTAGCAGCGTTCTGATTACCTGGCCACATGTGAAATTAAGTCTCTTTCAACCTTTACTTTCCACGTGCTATGTCCTTATACAGATGTTCTTTAAAAGCCTAAATTATTTACTGCTTGACCTTGTTTAACAGAGTGAGACCCTCCCCCTTTCATTTTCAACCACTTGTTAAGATTGCATTGCTATATAAGATACTGTAATTTTAACAAGAACTATTAGTGTACTTTATCATCTGGAAGAGACATGAGTATATTTGGACAGTTAGGATGAAAATTTTTCACACTTGTTTCTATGCAGTGAAAGTCGTATACCTTTCTCTTTGCAGATAATTCTTAACTGTAAAAACATAATTCAATTTGCACCCTGGAAATCATTTTGTGAAACCATTAATCACACAGTGATTGCTATTTTAGAAATTAGTAATTCAAGTTGCATAAATAAACCAGTGTGGGTGGGTCCCACATCATAAAGACACTTGACATACAACAACAGCAAAATCCAGTTAGTGTCAAAAAAAAAAAAAAAGAGAGAGAGAAAGAAAGTTTGCTCAAGGGTAACACTTTAGAATTTTATTATGTTTCTCTGAGTTATCTTTATGAACTAAACATACAAAAAGAATTTCGGTCCATGGATATTTTTTGTTTTAACCTCTCGGCTCACTGTTCAGTAAGTGTTTGGACCGCTCCTTCCTGGATGACACCACAGTCATTGAACGAAGTGTCAAATTTTTAATCACCGGTGGCATCTCCACAGAGAGAACCTAATGAATTCAGGCAACAATCAGAAAAATCTTCATCGTAAATGACATTATTCCAGCCGCTTTCTATAAACCAGCATGAAAAGCACATATAGGCAATGGGCTTTTCACACCTTTAGTATCGAACGTAAAATGGAATACTTCAAAATCCTTCTACAACTATGATTACTTGTAAACATAGTGCTAATCTTAGACATGGAAGAAGCAGCTAAGGAAAACAGAAGTTAATGGTGAAAGTCCATGAGCCCCTCATACGAAAATGAAGTCTTCATTCTCATCCATCCTTATTTAAAAAGAAAAATGCTAAGTTCTGGTTAACCGTCTTTCCTGTTCACACCAGATCCTTTCTGGGCCAAGGGACCTTGAAATGTGGGACCCATGTATTTAAGTGACGGGCAAACAGGGTTCAGATTCCCGAACAGCTGACACAAAAAAGTCCCTTTGAAAGGTGACTTGAAAGTACCATTGAGATGATTCGAACTGGTCCTTAAAGATGTTGAAACGCCTTTGTCTACTGTATGTGGTGTCGGGGCATTGCCTGGGACCCTTTCAAACAGCAATCAATAGAGGGTGAGTAAGTCTCCCCACTTGAAAGTAACTCAGAGAGGAAGCCAACAGAGTCATCTGGCTTTGCTGGACTGATTCAAGAAGAGACACAGTATCCACCCTTCCCTTCTACTGCTCCCACCCCCTCCCAGCCCACACCCCTGCAAGAAAGAAAAGAAGAAAAAGAGCCAAAGGAGAAAAGAGAGAGAGGGGGGCAAAAAGGAAAGAAATCCAGAAATCCAGGGCATAATTTGAGCAAGGAGAAAAACCTCATGCTCCCGGGGTAAACTTCAGCCATGGAAACAGACGTATGACTTTTACTTTGAAAACAGAAGAATGACAATGGAATTTGTGTGAGGTCTGTGTGAATCCGGCCCCAGATGTTCCCAATGCCGGAGCAGTAGGGCTCTGCAATCTGAGAGGTTTCAGAAGAAACGGTACAACGGGACGCCACGAAGCAGCGCAGACGCTACAGACAGCGCAGACAGGAGCATCATGTTACCCAGAGAGAAGGCAGGCCCGGGACTAATAGCGGTGCCGGAAAAGCGGACTTTGTGGACTGCAATCACTCAAGCCAACATGAGGGACCCTCCCAAAAAAACAATCAAAACCAGAAAAATGCTTTCGCTCCTATCTAGAGAGGTGGCGGGGGAACGGGATGGGGGTGGGGAGCGAGTGGAATGGACTTTTCTTTCTTAAATAAAGTTGCCATAAAGTCCCTGTAATTGACAGCGGGTAATTATTTTCAGCTTGAGGAAACTGTCCCAAAAAACGCTTAATAAGATTGCCAGCGAAAAGAAACAAAATGTGTTTACTTGAGCCATTTTCTGAAGGGAGGGGAAGGGGACCTTTGGCTGAAGTAGGCAAGGGCGATGGAGACCGAGGGGGTGTCGGTGCGCCGCAACCGCTCTGCGGCGTCCCGCGAGGCGAGTGACAAGCCCAGAGACAGGGTGACAGGGAGTGGGGGGACGTGCAGCGGCCCCGCAGGCAGGGGTGAGGCCGCACAATGTATACACGGGGCGGGGGGGGTGATTTAGTGTGAAAGTATTCCACTTAATCATTTTACAGGGGTTGGGGACGTAAATATTTAGCCGGCCACATCTGGAACAGATTCCCCCCTGCGGGGTGGGGGTGGGTGCCTGCGGGGAGGCAGTGCACAGTGGTTACTTACTGTACGGGCAGTTCTCCTTCTTGGTGCCGCCGACCTTCCCGTTCTTCTCGATCTTGAGAAAGTACTTGGTGAAAGAGAAGAGCTTTCTCCAGCGGACATCCCCTTGGAGGTGATTGTAGCTCCGCACGTGCCTCCCGGCACTGGGGGGAGAGGAGAAGGAGGAGGAAGAAGAGGAGTTGGTGGCCTCTGGTGACACCATGTCCTGACCAAGGGCTTGGCAGGTGACAGGGACGGAAGACACCAAGAACAGCAACAAGAAGCAGCAGCAGCAGCAGCCGGGCAGGTGGGGAAAGGCTGAGGCACAATGTGTCAGTATCCATTTCCACATTGTACTGAAACTCTCGGCGCTGGAGATTGTCTTATCAGAACGAACATACTGGAAGGGTGAGACCCGGTGCGCGGCGGCAAGGAGACAGCTGGAGGTGGCGGCCGCTGCCTAGCTCCCTCTGGGTGCAGATCTGGCCAGCAGGCAATGCACCACCATCCATCACTCCTCGCACGGGCCGCTGCCTCTCCTCGCTCCCGTCCGGGATCCGCTGGGCGCCCCTGCAGGCTCCGGGCGATGGTGGACCAGGGTGGGTGGCCGCGGTCGCGGGAGCTGCTGGGTGGCGATAGAGCAGCGGGTCACCGGCGATCTTCACTCCCCCAGGAGTTACTTTGTTCTCTTCTTCACTCCTTTCTTCACCATGTTAGACGAAAAAAGAAAATAGTCTGAAAAAACAGATGACAGCACGGGGAACGAGACCCGCAGAGGCTGGGGCGCGAGGCTGGGGCAGCGCACTGCTCCCGCCCGAGGTCGCGCCCGCCGGCCCCTCTCTGCGGAGCCCCAGCCCCTGGACGGCTCCCGCGTCCCTCCTCCCGGGCTGTCGGGGCCGGAGGCAGCTGCCCCGTCACCAGCCGCTGTTCTCTTCTGCCTCTTGCTTTCTCTTTTTGGTGGTGCCTGTGGATGTGAGGTCTGCAGAAAGTCACTTCTGGTTTTGGGGGGACGGCAGTTGGGCAGTTGGTGTTTTGTTTGGCCCCGTGTCCCTCCACCCCCCTCCTTTGGAAAGCCGGCTTGTAAACAGGTTGAAGCCAGGAGTCTAAATGTCAGTGATTCTGAGCCAGAGGTGGGCTCTGCGTCTGCTGGTCAAACCTCATTTGCAGGGTGGAGAAGCAGGGGGAGGGGGTCAAACGGCGGTGGGACATCTGAAACCCCGGGCTGCTGGGAACGCCAGGGAGAGGGAGGAGGGAGGGGGCCGAGAGTGGGGAGCCGGGACCGAGGAGAAGGGAGCGCGCTCGCTCTGCGGGGGCTGGGGGGCTGTGGGTCCTCTCCCCGCGCCCCAGCCGCAGCCTCCACCCCGCTGCGCCTGCAGCTCCGGCTAATTGCCGCCGCGGTGCCCTGTGCTCCCTGCGCAGGCCACCAGCGCGAGCCCTGTCCTCAGGCTTTCCCAATTTTGCTGCCTTCCAGCCGGAACCAATCCCCTCCGGGGAGCCCCTTTCTCACTTGTTTTCCTGCGTAGGATTTCTTTTTTTTTTTTTTTTCTTTTCCTTTTTTTCCCCCCTTTTGGCAGCGAAGTACTTGAGAGCCACCTGGAGCCTGGTGCTTGGCTGACTTTTTCCCTCCCCCTCGCACTCCCAGCAGGAGGGGAGGGCGGTGGGAGAAAGCAGAGGATGCTGAGGACAAACGCTCCAGACCAGCAGAGTATAAACGGGTCGAAGCAAGCACAGGAGAGAGAGAGAGAGAGAGAGAGAGAGAGAGAGAGAGAGAGAGAGAGAGAGAGAGAGAGAGAGAGAGAATAATTAGCTTTCTTCCCTCCTCTCTGCCAGCTTCCAAGGAGGTCTCTGCTTTAATGAGTCACTGATTTCTCCTTCCGCTGTTGGAGTAAAAAGTTCACACTTGGGCCCTCTCTGCCTTTTAAGCTCACGGAGTGTAAAGGTTGCCTCTCTGGGCGCAGATGAAATCGGGGACCCCAATGATGGACGGATCTGTCATTGCTAACCTGAGTCGTTGACAGAACCTTGCGTGCACTTCAAAGTGAACTCACTTTATTAGGGTTGCAGAGATTTAAGCACACAATTTGGCTAATATTCTGCTGTTCTTTTTTCCACGCGATTTCCTTTGCACTTTGCCATAAAGGGGCGTTTTCTTTTTTCTATCTTCAAATGTAACGTTTCAAAGAGCTGCATTTTACAACGTAACTGCACTACCAGTCTCTCTGACTTTTTCACACTCTCCAGCCCACGACGCCCTCATCGCTAACAGAAACTCGCACGCGGCCCAGGCATAGGCAAAACCAAGTCCTCAGTTAAGAAAACCTTGGCCAAGAATTAAGAGCGACAGGAAGAAAGACCGTGATCACCGGTTCCAATATGAGTGAGAGACAGCGCCTTCAGGGTCACTTCTTGAAGAATTACATCAAACTAGGGAAAGCTTGCTTGGGGGGAGTGGCTAAAGGTGAACTGGTGTAAAATATATGTATTTTGTAAAGCAAGTGGACTTTTGTGTCAGGTTAAACCATGTGAAATTGCCGGTTTTTCACCTAAAAAGAAATGGCAATTTCATGTGGTTTCACCTAATATATTTCAGCTGCTGTTCTAAGAGGAAGCATCACTTGTAGGTGAACTTGGGAGTTTGCCCTCTGCAACTATAATTTGGAGGCACCTGGTCGGAAGAGCTTGTGTACATACAATAAGCCAGAATCCCTCCGCTGTCAATTTGGCCTCAATCTTCACTGGGAACAGGAGAAGTTACAAAGAAGGAAAAAAAAAAAACCTCACCTTTGAGATAGGCATTTGGAATGATGTTGCCCACTGATGTTGTTTAGTGACCAAAAAACGACTTTACGTGAATATTCCTATGTTTTCCTGTGCATTTAGAGCCTTTGAAATAGAAGCATTTAAAACTAGAATCAGAGGTTTTAACTGCATTATTTTGAAGCCATTGCAACGCACATTCAGAAGATTTTGACAATAGGGTGATACCACATTTTAAAATTTTAAATGTAATATAATTAGTTCTGATTTCCGTAGCTATTAATTGGAGAGTGAAGCAAATAAACAACATACGTCAAACAAATCTTGCTCTTTCAGCAAGGATACTTAAAAATGAACTCACAGTCTAATTTCAATATTCTAGTTCGCAGTTTTCTACTTGAACTGACAAATGCCTGAAAGACAGTGTAGTTTCCCTAAGGGACTAGAGTTTCATTCAGCCCAATTGTTCAGCAGAATCCAAATGTTTGAATTGACAACTAATTAAAATTATATGTTTTTTTTAAATGATGTCTGATGAAAGCATACAATAAAAATTCTGTGGTGAAAAATTGCAAAACACAAGAAGTTACTTGAGGTTTCTCTGCACTGGACATTTACACTATTGATGCCACTTGAGAACCTTTTAACTTACAAGAGACACCCCACCCCCACCCCAAAAGGAGTCTCTCTTTCTCTTCCTCTCTCTCCTTCTCCCCCACCCATCTTTCTCACCCATATCTATCTTCTGACTTTCTGAGCCAGTGGAAGAAGCTATTCAGATCTTTAAAGTAGAAGATTTCTGTTTTTATTCTGTCTGACATTAGGGGAAATGCATCTTCCAAAGTTCGATGTTAAAAATCTGTTTGCAGCAGGTGCGCTGTTTAAACTTCTAGAGTCCTTTCCCTGCTTTCCTGTACGGCACGATGACAGGAAGGGTATTGACAAAACGGCCCAAAGGAAAAGCTGACATAGCTTTTTAGATTATATCTCATTCTTCTTTTTCTTTTCTGTGCAGCCTTTCTTTTGCAGCACAGCCGAATCCCTAAATAGTCCAGTGCTTTGCATTGTTAGGTCGCCTCTGAGGTTAGCTGGAGAAAGCCTGAGAAAAGTTCTGCACGAAAGATGCTCTATTTAACGGAATTCAATCTCTCCCAATAGATTCGAATCACTAACATAAATGTATGAATGTAGATTATATCTCTGTAATGAGGCCTGAATCATTCTAAGTTACTTCAAAGGACTGAAACTCTACCTTCCTTTTTTTGCAGCAATAATCAGGTCTTAATGGGTTCCTTTATTAATTGTTTCTCTGCAGCAATTGAAAAGGACAGTACAAGCTTCAGATTAGAGTGAGACCTACTCATTCGAAAAGGCTGTTTTTCTCTCTTTTTTTTCACCCTCTGGAAGGCATGCTTTATTTCTATGCCCTAAACAGCTCCAGTAATAGTAGGCTAAATCTTGATTTCAGGGGAACTAGATGTGGCCTTTTGTTCAATGTGATTCCTTGAGAAATGATGGAGGCTTTTAAAAGTGAGGCCAGGGCAGCAGCCATGGAGGAATCTTAAAATGTGGCTATTTAACCCCTGAGAAGCACTTGGCATCTATACTTGCAGATCCTTCGGTAGCTATTCTGTTTGAGCAGTTTATGGTTTAAGTGTGCATTTCCTGGGTTCTTTCTGTACCTGGGCACTCTCTGTGGTTTAGTTATAAGATGTGTGTTCTATTATGTGTGATGTTATAGGCAGCGTCAGTAGCTGACTCAGATAGTAACAAAGTAAGGTCAAAAGCCAGCCAAGCCGTTCTACAAAGTGGGCAAGTGCAGGCCTCACTTGCAAAACCTGTGGCGCAGCCCCCATGGGTACGTCAGTAGCAGCGTGCCTCCTGGGATTTCTTTGGATGAGGAAGGTGCCCGTTTGAAGGCATTGCTGGGGCTTGCAGTCTTCCCCGGATGTAGCTACAGATGATGCTTAGAGACAGTGACATTGGGTAAAATAAAATAGTGATACCTTATATGTTTTTTTTAAGGTAGGGACATCTAGTGAAAGAAAAAGAAGTCCTATTAGCTCACAGAGAGTAAGTAGTGCAACACTTCAAAAGTCAGTGGGAATCTTAGCATGAATTGAATTCATCTCATTCATTTGAAAATGAATGAACCAGTGCACAAGCCAATCAGTGGTAGAACAGAGTTCAGATGGCAGGTGCGAGGCTCTAGGCTGTTGTTCTATTTTTTTAAGCATCTGTTCTATTTTTTTTCTTTTTCTCCCTCCCTGCTCCCCTTCTCTTATCACTGACCACTCATCATTCTAATGTATCTTAGATGCAGAGTAGAAGTGATAAAAAACATTAGAAGGCTTTGCTTATGGAAGAACAATATATCTTTGGGGCAAAAATTAGCCAGAGGAAAGTAATAAAATAATTTACTATTGAATAATTAAGTACCAGTTGATGAGCCAAATAAACAGTGATACATATTTGACAAAGGGGGCTATTTGATCAAAGCTTGTGAAATGAAAACAACTAGAAAGCAACTGATAGCATGTATTTTCAGAATATTCAAAGATTTTTTTTCTATATAATCTGGGTTTATAGGTTCTTCTCTAGAAAACTTATAGCACCTTCTAGAAAAGTAACTTTATAATTTGATTCTGCTTCCTGTATTCTAATCATAAAGTAGCAGGGTATTTCAAAGCATAGGTATGAGCATATATATACATACATAGGCATTATATATGTGTATACACAAGCACACACACACATTTTGTGTTTTCAAAGTAAGGTAAGTTTTCTATTCCCTGGCTTTCCAACACACTTAATGATGTTTTATTCAGAAGAAAAAATCGTCACGAGGTAAAAAAAGATCATTTGATGGAGAAACAATTCTTCATAAGAATGTTTAAATCATGCAATAAATCACCCAAATTTCCTGGAACTGAACTGTGCATCCTGGCACCAAACACAAACATGTTTGCACCAAGCGGCTGTCTGTCTCCTCCCCAGTGATGGTGAACAGAACCATCCACAGACAAAGCTGTGAAGTGTGGGAAGAACTCTGTTTGTTCTCCCTGTTCTCAGCCGTCCCTGGGCCGAGCTACACCTTTTTTCTCTTCACGCCCTCGGTTTCTTAGTCCTGTGTCCTACATCAAAATTTTAAACATCCCGGTATCAGTTACAATAGCTATGTTTTTTATTTAATGGGCAGTTCATAATGTTTTCTTTTAAGTTGCCACAGGCATTGATAGTGTGTTCATTTCTTCATCCGTTCATTTAATGGATCTTTATTCTGTTAATGTTGATTGGCGCCTGTCATGTGCCAGGTAGGTATTATGCACTGAGTGCAGTTTCACCAATAGTAACTTACTTTGTAAAGACCGTGAATCAGTGAACAAAACAGGCTTAT